TTTTTAGTTGTCCAGATCATTTCTTTCTATTTTTTTAGTAGAGACGGGGTCTCACTCTTGCTCAGGCTGGTCTCGAACTCCTGACCTTGAGCGATCCACCTGCTTCGGCCTCCCAGAGTGCTAGGATTACAGGCATGAGCCACCGCACCCGGCCCATTATGCCAGCTTTTTTGATGGCCAGAAGAAAAGATTTGGAAAGTGTGCTAAAATGAGGGGTTTGGCTAAAGATGTCCTTCCTTACACTACAAAATTTGCCTTAGAAACTGGCAGTCTGACCACGCCTGCTCTGCAGAGCTCGAGCTGTCTGCCGCAGCCGAGTGTGCTAGAGCAGACAGGTTAAGCCACGTGTGTTCCTCAGGGCCACGTCTCAGGGTCCATGGCTGTATCCGAAAGGGCATTCGAGCTGGGGGTCTTGCTAGCAGCCTCTAAAGGAAGCCTCATTCTAGCACCGGCTGGTTGCTAAAAGATGACCCAAAGATGAAAGCAGTCTTTCTCCAGAGAACCAGGCTGGCTTTACTTGCCTCCGTTACCAGAAGATTTAAAGAAGAAAGAAAAAAATCCCCACAATTTGGGGGGAGAACATAATTGGTAGAGGACATAAGGAAAGAGATTTGGAAAAGGCTCAAAAGAGGTTTGAAATACAGTCCAAAGCATCCTTAAAAGGTGGGAAGTCTTTCTACAGATGATTTATTGCATCTTTAGATACAGTTAGGAATCGAAGCATCTAATTTTATTTTAAAGCTTATCATTTAGCTGAAGATTTCTACTTTTTCAAGTTCATAGTTTTCTATTCTGAGATGCTATCCCTATTTCATTGTGGAATTTAAAACGAAGGAAATAAAGTCCTGTATTACATCAACTTCTTTCTTCTTTGAATATCATGATTTCAGAAATCTTTGATATTCTGGACCTCAATAAACTTGTTGCTAAGACTGCCAGAGTTCTACCCTTGGTAGTTTTAAGTCTCAATTGGCCAAAACCTTAGTAAGATTTCAGTAAATCTTAATACAGAAAAAGGAAGATAGTCAAAATTATTCACTTTCTTATTAACTACAGATATGTGTCAAATTCCTCCTCTGCATACGAATTTTGGAGTTTTTCCTTCCTCTTTAACTCATCAAAAAGTTCATTCTCTTAAATGTCTTGTGTCACC